GAAGGTAGCGTCGAGTATACACTATTTGACCTTCAAACATCAACAGTAACGTCATATATAGAAAACTTCGACGTTAACCTTACGTCCATCCCCTTATGCTTGACGTCAAATATTCCTTTAAATATATATATTTATTCAAATATTACTCAAAAATTGACGTCTTCCCTAAACTTCGACGTAAAAATTATGTCCTTTATCAGCCGCATGGATGTTAAGTTTACGTATATTCCCTACTACATTAAATGACAAATCTTACTATAAATATAAATATTTATTAAAATATTGAACGTCAATCTCTTTGCTAAAGAACGTAACCTGACGTCATTGCACAATGTCGACGTTAGGTTTACGTCAAATATCAATATAATTGACGTGAAATTGTCCTATTAATGTCACTTCGTAATCTTCGACGTAAAAGTTACGTCGCCCACTATGACGTCGGTCTCGAATTTGTCGTTAAAAGCAAAAAATAAATGACGTAATACGTTGTTTTTGCACTAGTGCTCATCACGCGAGCAACCTCATCACGCCACCACCCAACGCGAGCAGTGCCATTACAAGTTCAATCTCTCTGCCACCACTCTCCCTTCATCATCACGAGGCCGCCATCATCCTCCAAGAAAACGCAGCAGTTCAAAACCTAGAAAACCCAGATCCTCAAACCAGAAAACACAACAACCCAAAAAAACCCCAAATCAAACCCATAAACTTAGAAAATTTCTTCTTAATTTCATTTTGGATTCCCTTCCTTATCAACAGAAAAAATCAAATCATGACCTAAATCAACAAAATCCAAAATTGCTGCAGCATCAACTGATCCTCCAAAACCTATTAAATCCAAAATAGGTGCATAAGTAATTGGTGAAGACAACATCTTTGGGAACAAGGGCATTGGGCAAAGTGGTTGTGTTTTGGGGAGGATTAAGGACACGTTTGGGATGATCGTCGATCTCGATAAAGAAGATGTTAGTGGCAGAGACAGAAGCTGCCTTGGTGGCGGAGGAAGGAAGGGAACTCACCGGAGGCGCCGTTCGGCCTGGCGATGAATTGGTGAACGATTTTGATTACTGTTTTCTTAGTTGATGAACTAATCGCGTGTTATTTTTGTTTGCTTTGCAGAATCAGTCATGGCGGATGACGGTGTTGCCAACGACGGCGTAGATGATCAGTACGGTGAGGAATCGACGACGAAGATCGAAGTGTTGCAACGCGAACGCGATGAATTGGTGAACGAGAACGCCACAAGGAAGGAGGAGATCAAGAAGCTGACGGCAGAGCTCGACATTTTGCAAAGAGAAGACGCGACGAATAATGAGAAGATCGAGGAGATGCAGCGAGAGGTGGCGCAGTCGCGCGACGCGGCGAAGGCGGCCGAGGTTATCGCGGCGAGGGCAACGGACCTGGAGACGGATGTGGCGAGGCTATTACACGATTTGATATCAAAGATGGCTGCGGCGGAGGAGGCGAGGGCGAATGCTTCTGAATTGATGAAGAATTTAGGGGAGAAGAGTCGTTGGTTGAGTCTTTGGAGAAGGAACTGACGTCTTTAAAAAAGGTGAAGGTAGAGGGTGAGGTTAGGATTAAGGATTTGGAGAGGAAGATTGGAGTTCTGGAAACCAAGGAAATTGAGGAAAGGAACAAGAGGATTAGGTTCGAGGAGGAGGAGATGCAACGGTCGGACTGGAACAAGAGGATTAGGTTTTGGAAACAAAGGAGACGCTGACATTGGCGACACCCCCGATGGCTCCATATGCCACCCCCGGTGAATCTGGTTGGAGTGGACCGTGATGGTGCCTCTATCATTCTTGATGAGCGTTGCAGAGATTGAGAAAGGAAGGGAAACTCTGGTGGCTTCCCCGCGGCGGCAACAAGCGTCAATCACACACACGTGGCAAAAGTTAGGAAGGAAAATTGTGAACACACGTGGCCATCATTAGCCACATCAACTTTTAAGAGGAGGACTAAANGTATATTAGTATTATTAATTTTTAATAAATATACTTAACTTTATTCTTACAGGTACATGGACACCGTCGTAGTTGAATCAGGTCGGGCGTCAGTTTATGGTTTTTTTGAACCTCAAACCATTCAACCATCAGGAAACACATTAGATTCCAGAAAATCATATATTCAAACATGGATAACTGAGTCTAACAGAGAGATATATATCGTGTCATACATTGATGCGTATGTGTTTCCCAATATTGTCAACTTTTATCGAATTTTAATCGATAAATTAACTCACTAGTTGTTGGTACATGACAGGGGCCATTGGCAACTCATGGTGATCATTCCAAAAAAAGCACACGTTGTATGGTTTTGTTCTCTTCATAAGAAGATTAAAGAGGAGTTGAAGTCCTTGATACAAACGTAAGTATTACATTCATTCTTATCAATTCATTATGATATTAATATATTAACTTATGTTTCTAATGTTTCAAATTTGTTTAGAGTTGTGACTAGGACCAGAGGACAACAACTTGAAATTATATATCCTAAGGTTGGAATTCGTTTATCTTTAACCTTTAATTTTCGTAGTCAAATTTAAACCATTACATTTGACTAAGTTCTTTCACATGTTTAGTGTAATAAACATTTTCCTGGGCATGTGGCTACTATATCATGTCATGGATGAAGGCAATCATTCGAACATAAATCAGAGGAGAATGGACTGAGGTAAAAGTTTACATTTGAAAATTTAGAAATATCAATAAACTTTTGACATTAATATGAATATAATATAGTAAAGTTTCCTTGATTATGCAGCAGTTCAACACTACCTCTCCATTGTCCACTTCAGTAATAACGACGATAAGAGAGGATTGGGCACGATATTTGAATAAACATTTTAAATACCTATATAGCTTTAGGTTTTTCCTTTCATGATAGTAGCATTTGCTTACTTGTGCAGCTTTTAAAATGTTAATAGATTATTGTGAATAGATGAATACTGCGAATGAATGAATGAAAAACTGGGTTCTTTAAAGTTTTGATGTTAGCATCAACGTCTTTTAGTTTTACTATTTAATTGGAATTGATGAATTGATGATAACATGGTTTAAATTAATTAATTCTGTGAATATATATGAATTGGAAAACTGGTTTCTGTATTTCAGGATTGGTTGAATGAGCTAAACCGAATCAAATCCAAAAAAAAAACACCGAAGGTAGCGTCGAGTATACACTATTTGACCTTCAAACATCAACAGTAACGTCATATATAGAAAACTTCGACGTTAACCTTACGTCCATCCCCTTATGCTTGACGTCAAATATTCCTTTAAATATATATATTTATTCAAATATTACTCAAAAATTGACGTCTTCCCTAAACTTCGACGTAAAAATTATGTCCTTTATCAGCCGCATGGATGTTAAGTTTACGTATATTCCCTACTACATTAAATGACAAATCTTACTATAAATATAAATATTTATTTAAATATTGAACGTCAATCTCTTTGCTAAAGAACGTAACCTGACGTCATTGCACAATGTCGACGTTAGGTTTACGTCAAATATCAATATAATTGACGTGAAATTGTCCTATTAATGTCACTTCGTAATCTTCGACGTAAAAGTTACGTCGCCCACTATGACGTCGGTCTCGAATTTGTCGTTAAAAGCAAAAAATAAATGACGTAATACGTTGTTTTTGCACTAGTGCTCATCACGCGAGCAACCTCATCACGCCACCACCCAACGCGAGCAGTGCCATTACAAGTTCAATCTCTCTGCCACCACTCTCCCTTCATCATCACGAGGCCGCCATCATCCTCCAAGAAAACGCAGCAGTTCAAAACCTAGAAAACCCAGATCCTCAAACCAGAAAACACAACAACCCAAAAAAACCCCAAATCAAACCCATAAACTTAGAAAATTTCTTCTTAATTTCATTTTGGATTCCCTTCCTTATCAACAGAAAAAATCAAATCATGACCTAAATCAACAAAATCCAAAATTGCTGCAGCATCAACTGATCCTCCAAAACCTATTAAATCCAAAATAGGTGCATAAGTAATTGGTGAAGACAACATCTTTGGGAACAAGGGCATTGGGCAAAGTGGTTGTGTTTTGGGGAGGATTAAGGACACGTTTGGGATGATCGTCGATCTCGATAAAGAAGATGTTAGTGGCAGAGACAGAAGCTGCCTTGGTGGCGGAGGAAGGAAGGGAACTCACCGGAGGCGCCGTTCGGCCTGGCGATGAATTGGTGAACGATTTTGATTACTGTTTTCTTAGTTGATGAACTAATCGCGTGTTATTTTTGTTTGCTTTGCAGAATCAGTCATGGCGGATGACGGTGTTGCCAACGACGGCGTAGATGATCAGTACGGTGAGGAATCGACGACGAAGATCGAAGTGTTGCAACGCGAACGCGATGAATTGGTGAACGAGAACGCCACAAGGAAGGAGGAGATCAAGAAGCTGACGGCAGAGCTCGACATTTTGCAAAGAGAAGACGCGACGAATAATGAGAAGATCGAGGAGATGCAGCGAGAGGTGGCGCAGTCGCGCGACGCGGCGAAGGCGGCCGAGGTTATCGCGGCGAGGGCAACGGACCTGGAGACGGATGTGGCGAGGCTATTACACGATTTGATATCAAAGATGGCTGCGGCGGAGGAGGCGAGGGCGAATGCTTCTGAATTGATGAAGAATTTAGGGGAGAAGAGTCGTTGGTTGAGTCTTTGGAGAAGGAACTGACGTCTTTAAAAAAGGTGAAGGTAGAGGGTGAGGTTAGGATTAAGGATTTGGAGAGGAAGATTGGAGTTCTGGAAACCAAGGAAATTGAGGAAAGGAACAAGAGGATTAGGTTCGAGGAGGAGGAGATGCAACGGTCGGACTGGAACAAGAGGATTAGGTTTTGGAAACCAAGGAGACGCTGACATTGGCGACACCCCCGATGGCTCCATATGCCACCCCCGGTGAATCTGGTTGGAGTGGACCGTGATGGTGCCTCTATCATTCTTGATGAGCGTTGCAGAGATTGAGAAAGGAAGGGAAACTCTGGTGGCTTCCCCGCGGCGGCAACAAGCGTCAATCACACACACGTGGCAAAAGTTAGGAAGGAAAATTGTGAACACACGTGGCCATCATTAGCCACATCAACTTTTAAGAGGAGGACTAAAATGTACCTTACTTTGAAAGAGAGACTAAAACCAAATTCGCTTGATAGTTTAAGAACTAAAAATATATTTAACCCTATATAAAATTATTAATATTATAAAATTCGGTGCAATTTATACTAAAATAATGTGTTTCTTTTCATAAATTTTACTTCACCAAAGACAAAAATAATTTTAATAAATTTTTAAAATTAAAGCAAAAAAGTCCCGTGTCCTATTTGGAAAAAAGAAATACAAAAGTTTACATTTCCCGTTATTACTTTAATGGAGATGTTTTAAAGGAAGAGGAATAGACTAAAAGGTAACTAGAAATATAAAAAATTGTAAGCATTTTATTAATATAATAAATTTTAAAAATATAAAAAAATATTTATAAAATGATTAAATTATCTTTATTAATATAAATAAATTTAATTAAATATTGCATTATATTTTATCATTAATTTCATAATTTACTATTATTTAATAATTTTACTATTATTTTTTGTTATATTTTAAGGGTATTTTCGTGAGGATAAACCCTAAAGAACCATAAACCCTAAATAGCCCTACCCTGTCAAATGGAATTGTAAAACAGTTTCGATAGTCACCATAGATAGATTCAGAGATTTCGCCAAAATAAATAAATAACATTGATTTCAAGCATTTGCAACAACCAACGCCATCCACGTTTTCAGGTGACTATCATCGCTCCCTGTTTCGTTCTTCTATTCTCTTCTTCATTACACTAAAACCATTTTCTTTTCTCCATTTCATTTTTTTTTTAAATTTTTTTGATGATTGCAAGAGCTTCAATTATATCCATGGTCTGTGATGCTGGATTTGTTGATTTCTTCCTTGCCCCTAATTTTTTCATCCTCTCTCGTTTTTTTCCTCGTCCGATCATTTACTGAAACCTTGTTTGCTGAAAGTGAGACCATGTTCTTGCAATCATGCTTTGTGTTTTTTTTTTCTATAATTGCATGTTGTTACTGACTAGGTGATTGGAAAAAAGTAAATGCACAGAGAAGACAGATTACAGGGACGTTTGAGATTCGTGTAACTATATTTGTAGGTCTTAAAATACTGTTTCTTTTCTTAGAGTATACACAGTTGGATAATATCATTACGAGAAAATAGGACCAAACAGAATTGGACTTTTAGAGAAAATAAGAAGAAAAAAGTTTTTCTTTTTGTTTTTAATTTAATTATTTTTCTTATTGTATAGAGCTTACAGAGAAGTTTATCGGAGTAAGTATGTCTTTACGTTGTGCAAAACTGTGGTGTATGACATGATTCTACATTCCGTATTACGAAGCCTAGCTTTAGGAATTTCTGTTTACCTATGGTAGACATCCCTTTTAAAATGCAAATCAAACCAAATTTAGTAGTTTGTCATCCCCAAACTAAGGGTGCTGACCTTGACAGTGAATAGCAGATGGATCCCTTTGCAGCACACGAAGAGCAACTTGCTTCCCAGAGAATGAGGCAAAAGCTTGAAGAAGTAAATGTGGCTGCTCAAACTAATCTCGCCCCTGTGCAAGACCATGTCAATTTTAGTCTTCAGGTTCTTTCTGTTCCTTTTCTGTAACAAGTAATTCAGTATTTATTTTTACTATTTGATGGCATTACTGAATATTTCATCAGAAGATTTGAAAAAGGTTTTATGTCTTGATAACACAAATTGTATTATTAGCTGGTTTTTGTTTCACATTGTATCTTCATTTCTGGTTTTAGTTCAAATTATTATGCCATGATATTCTTCTGGTCTAATGAGTCATAAATGCAAAACATTAATTGACATGGATTTTTGGTAACAGAATTTGACTTTTTGTACCTTGAGTCCTATATTTTTCTTTCTACCAGATTGATATAGTTTTGCAGACAATCGGTGTATGTGGTAATTGGTTTCTGTGATAAAGCATACTTTCAATTCCATGTAGTTCATTGTTTGGTTGAATTGTTGTAGAAAGCCTATTTTAAATGTGCGCACGAGTGCTTTGATAGAAGCAAAAGGCAGGAGGAGATAAGCAATTGTGTCGAAAATTGCAACATACCTCTTAATAATGCTCAACAGACATTTGATGCTGAGATGGGAAGGTTTCAGGTGAGCTAACCCATATTTTTGTTATCTTACTCTATGTATGTAGGTTTTATTATCTGTAATTTATTATTTAAACTTCCTTAGTATGTATAAAATTGTTGAGGAATGTCTTATGAAATTGGAGAATGATAGCCTCAAGATCTTGGGCCATATGCATAGGAAAGACAAGACTTCCTGCCAGTGGCATTTACACATTTTTTTATTGAATAAGGACTCTCTTATCCTTATTTCATTTCAAAATTGTCCATTGCATCAACATGTAGGCTTTATCCTTAACTAGTTGTGAATTCAAGCTGCTTATAGTGTTATTGAGTATCTTCATGATGACAAATAATCGATTGTTCTTTCATGGTAAAGGTAGTGCAAAAAATATTTGCTTCTACTTTTTCATGGTATTACTGTGATTTTTGTGCGGTAGAATGGATTCTGGTGTTATCCACACACCCGATTAGGTTATCTGCTGTGCTAGTCGTTGCTCCGAATTGTTTATATGAATTCATTATCTGATATCCGCACCATGTTCTATTTCCTGAAAGCATTTTGACATATAGTACCTTTCTCTTTGGCCTGACAGTGTTTTCAACATGGTGCAGGAAAGGTTGAATAGATCTCTGATGGTGTGCCAAGATAAGTATGAGGCAGCTAAGCTCCAGCGTACTGAAGCTAAGCATGATTTGCTTTCATGTGCTGATAAAGCAATCCAGGAGAGTATCGAGACTCTGCCACATCTTGCCAACAAGTTGAAATCTTCCTTGGGAATTAGGGACAATGACTTCATGTAGCATACTCTCCTAGTGGGATATTATTATTGTTATTGATTCCTTGTAGCTTTTTTATTCATCCATACATTTAACCCCATATGCAAATCAAATTGGGTGCAATTAAATCTTGCCCCTCAAACAAATCATAAGGGTATTTTACTCAATATTTGAGAAATTCAGTCAACTGGTGGATGCTGTAATTTGCAAAAAAAGGTTTAGCTGAACACTTCCTATAGACTATTATTTTATATATATGGTTAACATTCGATTGCAGGTTGTAGTCATCAGATAAAGGATGTGTGTGTAAGCCAGGAATGTGGTTTTAGAAAACAACCCACTTAGGTTAGGTTAGTAAACCGTCACACCATGTGTGTTCTCTGATGAGTGGGAAGAAAAGATGAACAGAGTGAAAGGTGTAGGAGAGAGAAGGGGAGTGAAACAATGAATTGAAACATTTTCTCCTTAAAACATGCTAATAAACTTTCAAATAATTAAGGACAATATCTTTTTTATTTCACCAGTGTTCAGAATTATAAAATTATAACAAACTTGCTGTATAAAACAGTGACTGGTCTCACAATGTGAAAGTTGTTAGGTAAGTGTAGAATTATGAGGAAGTATCATCTTTTTTACCTTTGAGGTTCATTTACTTGAATTGTTCGTATGCTAAGCCATGATTTACGGCTGCCAATAAGTTAAAAATCCTTCCAAGAATGCTTCTTCATCTCTTTGTTAATAATCTCTACACACTCATTTTGCCTATCACTACATAAGGAGTGTACTCATTTTTCTTTTTATGTGTTTAGCCTTTAATTATTTTTCAACTTCCATACATCAGAGAGTTACACTGATAGAGAGGAAAAAAAATGGAGACAAAACTGAAGTAACTAGAGATTCTATTTAAATTTGACCTTGTAGTGTTCTTGCATTTGTTTTTCTTCAAACTATAGTTATTAACTTATTCTCATTTCCCATTAATTTTCACCACCTTTAAGTCCATGATTGTTAAACAACCAGTTTCTCTCTATTTTTATCTAATTTGAAATATTAATTTATTATAAGTTTTACTGTGATATGATTATAATGTATAATATTTGTATTTGTATATGACAATTGAATGCTTTAAAATTGTAATTTCATATTCAAACTAGTTTTCACGTTCAAATCGAATGCTATTATTTAAATATTGTCCTGTTTAAATGCAGAGTTTAACTTTTTTTGCCTTTCAAAATAATGAATAGAGTTCATACTTAATAATTATATATATATATATATAATTTATTTAAAATAGCTAATGCTTAAACTAGGTATTAATGTGAAGTAACAATGCTGAACGATATTTTTATCAATATGTTTAATTATTAAATATTCACTCAGTTTTTTTTAAAAAGTAAATACCTTTTAAATATAATAAGACAAGTTTAAAATACATTAGATTTAGTGAAAAAAGTGTGGACAGTGAGCACAAATGCGGACACATTTATTAGGCCAGTTCTATAACTATTAATCAAAATTGTTGTCACCATTATTTTGTTTTACACACTACTCTTATAAATACAACCAAATTTATCTATTTTATTATTTATAAAATATTCACCTAACTATTAGTAATAACAACTTTTTAACCGTTTTCATACACATTTTAATCTTTTAAATTCTTATTTATTTCAATATTAATTTTACTATTATTTTTATTTTCATATTATTATAATATTTAATTATTTCATTATATTTTTTTATTTCAAAAACATTTATACGCGTGTATTTATGCTAGTATTGTATACTATAATTACAATATCTGTTTATGCTGAATATATATTTAATAAATTAAAATTAATTATATAACGAGATAATTATAAAAATATTTAAAGTGTTTATTAATAAAAAATTCAAAAGATATAATATTTTTTTTTAAAGAAAACTATTCTAACAAAAGTACGTTTTCTTTCTTTCTGCAGTTAAGTTATGAAAAAAAATTTTAAAATTGGAACTTCCGAAAGCTAAAAAGAGATAAGGCAGTGCTATAGCTGCATCAGCAGAGTCTCGCAACCCTTCGCAGGTGATAACTTCTGTCTTTCACATTTAATGAAACCGAAACTATGTTAATGGGTTTCACTGTTACAACACGTCGGTGTGAAATTTCAATTTGGTTTCAAAGAACAAACAAAGAACTATCATGGGTTCTGTTCATGGATTTTATCTTTGCATACTCTGTATTGAGATTTAAATTATGTTTTAAGGAAGAGAGACAAGACATTGTTTCAACAATTGTTGTTGTTTGGTTAAACTTTTTACGGGCTTCACTAAATCATCATTTGGGTTCACTTTTTATTAGTGAGAATTCTGAAAAAATTTTGCCCAACAAGAAGAGAAATGTGTTCAAAAGATAATCTAGTAATAGTTAAAGCTTCCTTATGTAATCTTATGTATGCTTCCTTTGTTAAACATGGGTTTGGTTCGTGTACTTTTGAATTGATTAATTAGTCCTCCGGCTTTTGAAAATAAGAGACTTTAGTCATATTTCATGCTTACACTTAAGATTTTGTTGTAAATCTTGATTGTCACAAAGTTGAAGAAAAGACTAAATTAACGTATTTTTTTTGAAGTTTAAAAACTAATTCATCATTTTGAAAGACAAAAACATTACTTTGTTTGACAAAATGTAGGGGGACTATACATTTTTTTTTTTTCGTTTAGTTTATTTTGATGTTTCAGTAGAAGATTAATGGTTCCCTAGGTTTCATGTTCCTGATGTTTTAAAAGGATCATTATGTGAATATAGAGTTGTCAGATTTTTTAATGGATGATTTTGTAGGAGCAGTATCAGTATGAGTACCTGACATTTTATTCTTACTGTGTGCATTTTTTATCCTTGGAGAGGGAAAATAAATCTTACAGGTTCCAAGAACTGTGGGGCATATTTATTATTCTTTCCGGTACACCCTCTCTTTTGGGAGTGGTTGTCGTATGTAGAAACCAAAAGAGGCTTCCCACTTGGACAAAGAAAAAGACTGGATTCTAATCAGAGTACTGTGGTCTCAATTGAAAGAAAGAATGCATGCCGCATCTCAAACTTTCATCTTAAATCTCACTCCACAGGTTAATCCATTTCCCATTTTCATTTGATTTTTTTGGTTTTTTCCCTTTGTCTTGTTTTTTTCTTTTTTGAAAGAAGCTAAGTCAGTAATGGTAGTTTGTTGCCTGTTCTTTGGTAACACAAATTTTTGTTTTCAGGTGATCAGGTGCAAGCAGAGAGTAGGCCAGTATGTTGTGCCTATCCTGAATTATGAACATTTTGGTCTTTCATGGAAACTCAGTTGGTGCAGAAATAATTTAAAGGCACTTCTGCTTTCTGAATTATATTTCAAATTGCATAGGTTATTTGAGTCTATACTTTATTATACAACAAGCATTTAATTCCCTTAAATGATGATTACACTGCAAAGCTTGGGGCATCAGGACATTTTCCTTAATTATAGTATCTGTTGCTCTGTTTACTTGATAGAGTTTGGTGTAGAATTTGTTCAACGATTATGGTCCAGTCTTGGTGAATAGTTGAAAAGGGTCTCATAGTGAATAATGTTCCTGAAAATTTGGTCTTTAACCATGTTCAATGGTGTCATGCAATTCTTGTGGCTGACCTTACCCAGTGGGATAAGGCTTCGGTAGTTGTTATTGTCTATTGCCTCAGTGCTGCTAGTTTTCTAGCAGTTGTCCTTATGATTTTTTGACTGAATTTATTTAAATGACTCAAATTGATTTCAAAACATCATCTGCTTTTTACAGGCAAGATATTAAATGCCTTCCAGCTGCTGGTTGTATCATCAGGTGCTGTTTTTTTCTTTTCTGGCTGCATGATTATTTCACTCATAAAGCATGGTTTATTAAATAAGTAATTTGTCTAGGAATTTGATTTCATTTTTGTAGGTGCCGAAATTTCTTCCAATCAGTTTGAGGACTTTTCTGTCTCTGTTGCCGAGAAGGATGATACCAGAGAACTAAAGGTATCACAAAATATTTAATTGAAATAATAAAAAAAAAAAGTGAAAACATCCATAGAGAATAGAAAAAAAGGAGAGGCAAAGGTGTAACATGGAGGAGATACACAATGATAGCTCAGAAAATGATGATGGGGTGGTATTATGGATCAAATCAATACCTTTGCTGGACTATTGTATTATAGGATTGGAATAGATTCAAAGTTGGGTAGGTAGAGGCCCTAAAGCGAATGGTCAGTCAGCAGGAACGCTTGTAAAACTAGGGGGGGCAGAATATATCATCTGATCCTAACCCAGTAGTATAATTTCATATTGGGAATAGGCGGTCATCAGCAGATCAAACAGTTTGCAGTAGTAGTTGTAAACATAGGATAATGTCCATGAAAGTAGCATTTTCAGAATTGAAATGAAAACTGTTGATTGGTGTCTGGTGAAAAAGATAGGTGCCTTTTTTTGAAAGTTGAGAGAACAATAAACTGGCTGGGTTTATCTTGTGATGTTGAAAACATGCTTACCAAAAATGCCGGAGATGCATTAAATGAATGATATGAGAGAAAACTTCTAGAACTGGATACATAAGTGAGTTGAACAGCTTTATTGGCTCTACTTGCACAGAGAATACAGTTGTGGTAAAATTATAGTTTAGTTGTGTACATATGGTATATACATCAACAATAAATGTGGACAGTATCTTGAATTTTCTGAAACATAAATATGTTTTCATTTGGAGCAATTGTTTTTGACAGATGGGGGGGAGCATGTATACTTTTTCTGTTGATTTCTTTTTCACAATTTTTGTGAACACCCATGGTTGAGATTTTCTTATAAAATTTGAACCCTCTTTTTAACTTTTCCCTGTCCAGCTAAGCGTAGAGGTATGGACACAAAACTCAATGATATTTGATGATGTTTTTTAGAGAATGGTTGCAGCTGCACACCAATCCCAGATTTCGAAGAGTAAAAGGAGGTAGAGTATTTATTTGTACTGAGATTAGGTACTTTGTATGTAACTTCTATTTCAATAATTGACATTTTCTGTGCTTTTTTGGTGGCCACTGCTGCACTAACAACTTGATGACTACCAGGGAAAACACCAGATGTTCATTTCTGATATCTATCTTAGTCACAATCTTTTGTCATGTTAATTTTTTTGATCCTCATAAATACTCTAGTTTTTTCCTGTCTCCTTTACCACTAGCAGGTATATATGTGCACTCTAGGTCTGTCACATAGTAGGTTGAAACAATGAGACTTAATATTATGTCTTTTTTTTTTTTTTTTTCTGAAGTTGTAACATCCCCAACATATATTTTACTTTATTTACAAACATCAAAGTATCAATGGTTTCAAGGACATTCCTAAGCTTTCCTTCCCGAACCTCTGTACCACTAGAGTCTTCTAGAACCTCTATAACAATATAGTCATCTGCTCTCATGTCAAAATACGATCATGGGAGGTTCAGAAACAATCACTAAGCAAAGTAGAGAAAGTTAAATTTTTGATATATTAAAAGAACAATTTCAAATCGTCACATATATTCTCTACACAAGACAAGACATTTACATCATTAACCACAATATTTTTGAGATATTTTGTTTATTAGTGTATTCCTATTATATTTTTAATGGATTGTTATTATTTTATCTTCTCATTTGTGATTGCTCAAAGGGTTGAAAAGTTTTGCTTCCTGTGATTATTTATTATCCGGTAGCATCGTGTAAAGGATCATACATGTATGCAAATTTAGTTCAACTACATATATGCAAATTGAAATGCTGAAGTCTTTGATATAAAGGATATCAATTCAATGTATGGTTGTATTATGTTTTCTGTTTAACAGATACCAAAACACATTTTATTAGAGGTGCTTGGACCTTCCAAAGTTTTCAAGGAAGTTATCAAGAAGATAATCAACTCAACTGTAGCTGGATATGTAGAGAAGGTATTTTGTCATATGTGAAATCTAGTTTTTCTTATTTTGTCTTTCAAGGAATTATATATGTAGCTGAATATGTACAGAAGGTATTTTGTCATATGTGAAATCAAGTTTTTCTTAATTTTGTCATTCAAGGATATTATATATGTAGGCTGAATATGTAGAGAAGGTAATTTTGTCATATGTTGGGGGGGGGGGGGGAAAACTAGTTTTTCTTAATTTTGTCTTTCAAGGATATTATATAGCTACTAAAATACAAAAGGGGAAAATTAAGTATAATTTAGTATGATAGCTAGTGGGAAGATCCATCTATGGAATCCTCAGCCACTTCGAATAAACTTGTTCACATTCTTCCAAAGGAGACAATGTACACAAGGGAATAGTTTGTGTTGGGAGGATTGTGATTTGCAATTTAAATAATTCATGTCTCAAACCCCTAACCTAAACCGTGAGATCTTGACACTCTGAAATTCCTGAAACGAACCCTTAAACCTTCAAACCTGAGACCAGATACCTTGAAACCCGAACCTTGAAACCCTTAGACCTTGAAACCCTGAAAAACTCAAAACCTGAGACACTAAATCCTAAAATCCTGAAACCTATAAACCCTGAAAACCTTAAACCCCGAACGAAACCCTGAAACTCGAAAACCCTGAAACCCCAAAACCTTGAAACCCTGAAAAACTGAAACCCTTAGACCTTGAAACCCATAATCCCTAGAACCCATAACTCCCTTAAACCCTCGAGACTCTTGACCACTGAAACCCCAAAACCCTGAAACCCTAGAACTGTGAAACCCTAAAACTGTGAAACCTAAAACCCTAAAATTGTGACACGCCTAAAACCCTGAAATCTTAAAACCATGAAATCCTAAACCCTGAAACCCTTAAAACCGCTAAACTCAAAACCTCAAAACCTTGAAACCCGAAACACTGAAACCTCGAATATTCAAAACCCTAAAACTTTGAAACCCTGAAATCCTAAAACATTGAAACCCCAAAACCTTGAAACCCTAGAACTCTAAAACCCTAGAACTCTGAAACCTGAAACCCTAAAAGCCTGAAACCCCGAAACCAAGAAACCCTTAAACCTTGAAATCGTAAAAGCTTGAAACCCTGAAACCTTAAAACTCTGAGACCCTAAGACCTTGAGACCCTGAAACCCTTAAACCTTGAAACCCTGTGATAGGATATAATATGATAGGTTATAATGGGTAATAGGTGTGAGAGAGAGAAAACAGTTGAAGATTAATTGTTCAGTTTAGGATTATTGTTGTTGGGTAGTTGAAGTGGGTTGCCTTTATAGAAGGCAAGAGGGTCTGGTAGAGGGGGGAGTTTTTGATATCAATTGTAATACCAGGAACCTTGATCCTGGGGAGGGGGATTATGCTCCCAGTTACTGTTGTACCTGCATTGGTTTGATGTGAATACATATTTTCATTCTTTCTTACCATTTGGGGTGCTATTGTGTGAGTGTGTGTTGGATACAGTAAGGTTTCTATACCCAGAACCTAACAATTTGGTCGCGACCTGCCCGATCAAAGTGGGGGTGAACGTATCAAGAAGCTGCTGGATTCCTTTGGAGAGGAAACGTGATGAAGAAGAATCGATAATGGGAAAGGTGGGCCAGCGGACAAAAAAGTGCAGCAGAATGGAGAAGAAATATCCAAGAAATAACAGAAATGATGCATAATATCAGATTCAGATGAAGGGCTCAACAATAAGTGATGATTTTCTGCCATGAATGAAAAAGATGGTCAGAGGAAGAACCTAGAGGAACGAGGCAAAGGGCAGCAGAAGTGGAGGTAAGCAGATAGATTGCCTACTTTTTGAGGGGATTGATCCAGAGGGATGGATATCCAGAGCAGAGAAAGTTTTTGAATCCAAACGTGCAGCGGGGGAAAATTAAGATTGACTATGCTAGATGGAGGGAGGTTCACTCTATGGTTCAGGGCTGGGAAATAAACCAAGAACCATTCTTGGAAAGGGCTGGAAAGAGCATTGATACGGGGGTTCGGAGGAAGAGTTAGAGGTTCTGTTTTGAGAAGAAAAGAGAAACGGAAGCCGAGTTTTGAGTGTTTGATGGTTTGCAAGAATTAGAGGACAAAATAGGAGATAAAAATATCTGTGGAAGGAAGGCAAATGATGAAAACTGTGAATGGAAACATTGGTGTGACTGCTGCTGGAAAAAGTTGGCAAAGCTGTTGTTTTTACTACTATTGGGAAAGTAGCAAAGTTGTTGGTGTTGCTGCCCATGAAGTGGCATAAGCTGCTGTTTCTGTGAAGGAAAGAGAAAGAGATATCAGTGTAGAAGACAAAAAATGTGAATTGGAGCATTGTTTGTGTTGCTGCCCAGGAAGTGGCAAAGCTGCTGTTTCTGGGAGGAAAGAGAAAGAGATATCGTGCCGAAGACAAAAATGTGATGAGCATTGTTTGTGTTGCTGCCCAGGAATGGCAGAAGCTGCCCGTTTCTAGGAGCGATAGTGGGGTAGGTTTGTGATGTGTATGATAAAACAAGAAGAAGGGTGCAGACAGAGGAAAGAAAGCAGAATATGGGTGGGAACAGGTGACTATGATGCTTGGAAATAAAGTAAGAAGATGGCGCTGTCTTGAGTTGGGAAAAAATATGGTTGTCACAAAACATCAAACCACTAAGAAGACCCAATGGCAGAGGAATATTTCTTTGCAGGGCTGCAATTTAACATTCAGAGGAAACATAGCTCACATGATGATGATGAAGGATTGGATGGTCAGAATCAACAAGTTCTTTCCTTTTTAGCTTCCTAGGATGAACCAAATTTGGGCAAGGAGAGGGCTTCGCCAGTACTGCTGCTATAAAAATACAAAAAAGGGTTTTGGGGGTGGAATAAGAGCAAGAATTCTTGGATCATCATCAGAAAAGAGTTTAAAATCCCCCCCAAAGGCCCCTGTAAGTGGTCACAG